TTTTTTTTGTGTGTGTGTGTGTGTGTGTGTGTGTGTGTGTGTGTGTTGTTGTTGTTGTTGTTGTTGTTGCCAGTTCCACTCTGAGCATTCTCGCAGGGAGGCCAGTGGCCCTCAGCTATTTACCTGCTTCGTCTTCTTCTCTCTTCTCCCTTCTGTTTCTCTCTCCTTTCCTCTTCTTCTACCTCCTCCTCTCTCCGTTCTCTTCTTCCCTCCCTCCTTGCCTCTCCGAATTTGCTTCGGCTTTTTTTTTTTTTGAAATAGAGTGCCTAATGTCATTGCATCCGTCGTGTTGTTCCATGAGGATTTGAACGTAGAGGGGTCGAATTTGGATGCCCCGTCGTACGTAGTAGTATAACACTGGACCACCCCAAAATCAATTAACGCTCCTTGGGGACATACGTTAACATTGGAACGACACGACATACATAAATCGATAAAAATAAAATAAAATCCAATTGATTCTATTCCGACGCCCCCAACTTCCCCGACTCCCTCCCCCCCCCACCCACCCACACACACACACAGAGGCAACCTTGCCAGCGCTCCCTTTCTCTCCTCCTTCCACTCTCTATCACTCCCTCCCCTCCTTTTTCTCTCTGCGACTCCGCGCTTCTCGGCTAGTATGAGCGCGTACATCTCTCTCTCTCTCTCTCTCTCTCTCTCTCTCTCTCTCTCTCTCTCTCTCTCTCTCTCTCTCTCTCTCTCTCTCTGTGTGTGCGCGTGGGTGTGGGTGTAATGGCGTTCGACTCCCAGTACAACTTTGTGGACACTATCTGAAGGAGGTGCCGTGGTCTATTTCTTGTGCGTTTCCCTTTCAGTCTCCCCTCCGGATGTTTTCATGGCGAGTGTTTGCGGCAGTTTGCCCCCCATTTGGCCTTTCTGGCGGTCAGTGGCCGATGTGGGAGACTCAGTCTCAGTGCGGTTTGCCCCTTGATAACGTGACATGTCCTGCGCAGCCAGATACTAATCCGCGCAAAGGACGGGAGTGGAAGTGGGAGTGGGAGTGGGAGTGGGAGTGCCCGACTCGTGTGGGTCAGCTATGGTTGAACCCCCCTGGTGATGACGATCGAAACCCCTTTTTTCTATTAAAAAAAAGAAGAAAAAAAGGGTAACCCCCTTGGCAGCCCATTAAAAAATAGCGTCCGGGTCCGGGATCCCAACCCTCTGCCAGGCCTTTCAATTTCCTATGTGGAACGTCGCTCAAGCTGTTTGACACGTGTCATGCTATCTCTACTGCTCTGCTTTTGGCCTATTTGCCCTTTCTGGCGGAGGATCCGCCGGGGGGGGGGGGCGCGGCGTTCGCCCCTTACCGTAACTTTATATAAGTCTACCTGCGCAGCCTGATTGCCCCTTGATAACAAGTCCTGCGCTGCTGCGCAGGCAGGTAAATAAAAGGTGTCCGCCCCAAAACTTGTGCCTTTGAGCTTAATATGGGGATGTCCATGCTTATGGGGGTGTCTGCTGTGTGCATGTGCTTGCTTGGACGTACCGTAAGCATGGAGGGGTAGAGAACCGGATTGTCCTTGCCAGCAGCATTCCTTTCTAGCCTTCTTCTTCGGGAAAGTCGGGTACGACATTAATACAGTCCGTATCCTTTGTTTCCCCCCCTTCCCCCCCCCCCCCAAAAAAAAATTCCCA